TTGTAGCACTATGTTGCCAGGCTGGTCTTGAACTCCTGGGCTCAAGTGCTCAAGTGATCCTCCCACCTCGGCCTTCCAAAGCACTGGGATTATAGGCATGAGCCAGCACTCCTGGCCAAGAATTATATTTATTGATGGGGGGCTCTATGAACTGGGGTCTCTGGAGAAACAGAACCAATATGTGTAAGTGTGTGTGTGTGTGTGTGTGTGTGTGTGTGTGTGTGTGTAAAGAGATTTATTTTAAGGAATTGGCTCACAGGGATTGTAGGAGCTAGCAAATCCAAAATTTGTTAGGCAGTTATAGTCTGGAGGCAAAATTTTTTGCTCTCCAGAAAACCTTAGTTTTGCTCTTAAGGCCTTGAACTAACTGACTGGCTATGTCCCCACCTCACCCCCAGCCACAATATGGAGTGTGATCTGCTTTACTTAAAGTCAACTGATTATAGATGTTAATTGCATCTACAAAGCACATTCACCATAGCATCTATACTGGTGTTTCACCAACCAGCCGGGCACGACAGCCAGGCCAAATTGACACACACAATGAACCATCACAAAGGCCTGTCAGCTGAGGCTGGGGGTTACAGAGACAAAAACACAACTTTGCCCAGCACCTGAGTCAGAAGAGTGACTGGCAATGACAATACCACAGTGACGCAGCTGCACAGAATCCCAGCAGAGGAAGTCCTCAAGCCTGCAGGGGCTCAGAGATGTTGGTTCAAAGCTCTTGGGCAAGGGGAGACTTCCTGGAAGAGGTGACTTCATTGCCTCAATATATATACGAATATCGGCTGGGCGCAGTGGCTCACGCCTGTAATCCCAGCACCTTGGGAGGCTGAGGTGGGTAGATCACCTGAGGTCAGGAGTTCGAGACCAGCCTGACCAACATGGTGAAACCCAGTCTCTACTAAAAACACAAAAAATTACCCAGGTCTGGTGATGGGTGCCTGTAATCCCAGCTACTCAGGAGGCTGAGGCAGGAGAATCACTTGGACCTGAGAGGCAGAGGTTGCAGTGGGCCAAGATTGCACCACTGTACTCCAGCCTGGGCAATAAGAGTAAAACTCCATCTCAAAAAATTATATATATATGTATATGTGTATGAATATCCACACATACACACTAAGCGCCTACTAGCACAAGACAAGACAGACAAGGTTCTGCTCTCCCCAGGTACACAGGGTTGAGATACAATAGGGAAGCAGTGAGCCGGCTGAGTCAGGGGTATGAGGAGCCAATGCACAGGGAAATGCCCTAGGACATCCAAGGCCAGAAGGCAAACATGTGGCATCAGAAGGCAGCAGGTCCCAGATCACCAAGGGTCTAGAAAGCATGTGGAAGACTTGGGACAATGAGGGAGTCATTAAGGCGTTTTGCGTTCTAGATATATCACCAGCTTCAGTCGGGGGCCAGGGGTAGCATTGAGATCTGGCTGGATTCTGGAACGGGGCAATGAGGTTAAGGCCCTTGGAGGATGGCTGTTAATGCAGGTGGGAATGCAGGTGGGGAAGCGGGAGCAGGCTGGCAGAAGTCTGGCACACGTGCTGGTCTGGATGTGAGTCTGCAGCATGCCCGGGCTGGCCATGCAGGTGGGCATGGGAAGTTGAGGATCCTGCCCTAGAGTTTGGACTCCTCTGTCTGAGGTCAGGCTCCCCAGAGGTGGAGCTCCAGAGGGAAATTCTTGTGCCAGCAGTTTCTCAGGGGCCATGTGCTGAGCGGAATGGGAAGCAGAAACAGCCTAGAAGCTGAATGAGGATGTGGTCTCAGCTGGAGATGAGCCTGATCCTCTGGGAGCTCTGCAGCAGGGACAGCAATTCAGGGGAGGTGGTCCTGCCTGAGGACCCCTGAATTGTAGCCTCATATTAAATGCATTGGCTGTGGGCTGCTGGAGAGCCTGAGTGACCAGGAAAGGGGGCAGCCGGGGAGGGGGCCTAGTCCCTGTCTAGGTTTGGGTGAGGCAAAGGCTGGGGAGGCTGTGTGCTGCAGCATTAAGATACAGGCTTCAGACTGGCCGCAGTGGCCCACACCTGTAATCCTAGCACTTTGGGAGGCCGAGGCGGGCTGATCACCTGAGGTCAGGAGTTCGAGACCAGCCTGACCAATATAGTGAAACCCTGTCTCTACTAAAAACATAATAATTAGCCGGGCATGGTGGTGCATGCCTGTAATCCCAGTTACTCAGGACGCTGAGGCAGGAGAATTGCTTGAACCCAGGAGGTGGAGGTTGCAGTGAGCCAAGATCCTGACACTGCACTCCAGCCTGGGCGACAGAGCAAGACTCTGTCTCAAA